AGGCCAATCTCTAATGTAACAGTAAACTGCTGAACAGGAAGCTATAGTTATGAACTGTTCTAAAAGGTTCACTTGTTGTAGTTTTAAATAACTCTACGTGACTCCTACTGGGGATCTTGGGGTTTCCCCGTTCTCCTCGCCATCCTCTGATCTGATCTCAGTCAGCGAACACGATTTCCGTTAACCTCTTTTCACTTGTGTTGGACTAGATTTTAGTCAAACGCATTAGAAGACACAAAAACCCCAAACGTATGCATTCAGATCTGTAGAAAGTAGGCAGATTTACATGCAGCCGTCCTTCAGATGAAGGTCTAACGCATCCTGTTGCTGTGCTGTTTGCTGCTCTACAGCATTTCTCATCGCGCTCTGATGTCCTTTCACTCAGGTCAACATCGACTACAACACCAAGATGGCCATCCAGAAGAGCATAGCGCAGCCCACCAAGAGCTGCTTCGAAGCGGCCCAGATGAAAGTCCACAGCCTGATGAAAAAGGACTCGTACCCCAGGTTCCTGCACTCTGACATTTATCTGCGTCTGACCCGGAGGAAAGGTCCCGGAGCCACCATGTTCCGCCGGAGGTCGCGCTCCTGCGTGTTCAACGAGAGGGGGGAGGCCACGACCGAGCCGTCCGCCTGGTAGCTGGGCGCCGCCGCCAAACGGATTCGTTTCAGTGCAGCAGATAATCTATGATTCGCAGCACTGTTGTTGAAAGGGGGAAGAAGTTTATTATTCACAGGTTTGCTTCTGCAGAGTGCATTATTTTTTCATAACCACGGTGGTCGCGGTGAATTATTCTACATGCACAACTTCCAGCAATAATAATTTAAAGGTACATTTTGGGTGATTTCTTACTGTGTCATATGGTGAATGTGTGGCTATAGCAGACTGCTGGCTAGCCGTAGCTTAGCACGAAGGCTGATGGCAGATGCAAAACAGCGACCTCGGCTCTGTGTGACAAACCAAAGATCACAAAAAAGAAGAAAAAACCTGCTAAAAAATGAGACGTGCTGGTGTCACAGGAGATTCTGGGCTCGACAGTTTTGTGGCAGTAAATTCCTGCGGTCTTCATTGGTTGCCTGGCAACCTCCCAGGAACGACACCACCTCAGGAAGTTTATGTCGCTGTTTTCTTCTTGTTTCCAGCCTTTGTGCTGAGGTAAACTGGCAGGCTGCAGGCGGTGGCTTTATGTCATGCAGATAAGAGAGCGGCATCCGCAACATTAACCTTCAGGTGCAGGAATACATTTGGAAAGGTTACCTCACGGCCATGTGGTTATCTGGAAACGGCGGACGCCCTCTGGCCAATCACGATCGAATATCCTCTGAGGTCGCGGCATCAAACCGGTTCGCTCTGCAGAATGATCCATGCCTTCTCGGAGGCGGTGCGCTCGGGGATCGCTGATGATTTCTTATATTTTCTCCGATCTTTCTCTAAAACTTGAGTGACGACGGGATAGTTTGGCGCCTCCACGCTACCGACAGCATCCAGCCGGCCGCTCAGGCACCGAGCTCCTGACTTCAGACACTGCTTTGTTTTCCAACCACCTTTTCTTTTACGACGTTAATACAGCTGATAGGGCGTGCGGGCTAATTAAAATGGATTCCTGATTCCTATCCCTGGCGCTGCCCGGCCTCCTCCAGACTAACTTGAAGCAGCAGCAGCAGCAGCTACACTGCGAAGCACCGATTTCCGAGGCGTCTCTCATTTCTCTTATTAATTTAAGTATTTCACCAGCTAAAAAAAAAAAGAAGAAAAAAACAAGATGCATGTGTCTTATTTGAATACTAATGTTACTTCCATTAATTATGACTGCTTTCAGGTTGCTGCCGTCTCATGTAATTTATGTATTTCTGTGATCGTTTGTGTCGAAATGTACATACTTTAATATGTGGAATAAACACTTTCTTACAAAAGCGGGTTTTAATGAGGCCTTTAGTGACATTAATTAGTTTGAATGACCACATCTGAACTTGACAAATGGGAGCCATAATGTGTGTACATCACCACCAGCGACGGCGTGCAGCTCCCTATTCCTAAATCGCTGAAAAATTAATAGACCTTATCAACTCCCACCACTCCAGCTCGGAATTATTCATACCACTGTATATGTATGCACAAGCTATACTTCTTACAAAGACAAATACGTATTAATGCAAAACTGTCGCCCACGAACTCCTGAATATGTATGCAAAGGAGAAATACATCCCAGTACATAAAGCTGTATGTACACACACACACCACGCCGACTTAGCTCATTAACACAGATGTCAGGGTTTTTTCTCGCAGCCTTCAAAGGGATAAAGTCCATCTTAGCACAAGTTACTGTCATCCCACCGAAAACCTGCGTGGAATACCTCACAATTCACATTAATTATGCATCCATTGAGACGGCGGCGGCAGCGGCGGTGGCGTGTACACACTGCAGTTCTTGCACAAAAAAGTCAGAGGAGGAGACGGTGGGGGCTGTAGGATTTATTGTAATGGTCCGCTAACAAAGGTAGACGCTCAGCTGGCCTACCGAATTCATCACGGCGAAAGATTAGTTCCCTGCTAAGACTTTGCTGGCAGATTTTGTGTTTCTCTCCCATTGGTATTTAAATTTCTAAGTCAGTCTGAGCTAAAAGCCTCTGAAATCATCCGCAAGTTAAAGATGCATTGTGGAGGCTCTGAAGGGAAACAAAAGAATAAGGAAGCAGTTTGCCTGGAGATATGAGACTTGTAAAACAAGACGAATGCTGCTCCGAGAGGAGTGTAAAACAAAAGGATTTATTGTAAGAAGTCTAATAGTGGATTTTTTTTTCTTTTTATCAGATGAGTTTCTCAATCTAGACCCCGCCCTCAGCGCCCATCTCTTAACTTTTACACCGTCCCGTCTCAGAAGCTCTTTTATCTGACCCCAGACAAATTTAGCATCTGCTGACTCCGGCCTCAGATATCGAGCATCCCTATAAATCTGTTTGATGTGGTCGGCCTGCAACGTTATTGACAGGCCTAAATAATTTCCAACAAACAGAAGACTGGTTGGAAAGCCTCAAGGTGAGCATTTTCCCCTCAAACCTGAAGCTGAAGATGTGTCGAAGCATCTGTTGGGTCGAACGCCAGCCGAATGACAACTTCCCCCCCCGATTCTTTAAAGCGTGATTAGCAGTGAATAGGTGGCGGGTTTCTGAAAGGAGTCAATAACTCTTAAGGACGATTTCTGCAGACTGAAGGCTAAATATGACTGAAAACGATTCTGTGAGGGAAAAAAAATACACTAGCGTCGGATCTGTAGAGGCAAGCTGGAAAGAAAAAGAAAGAAAAATCTGTATTATTAACTATTTTCTTCAACTATACACCACAAAAGATGAATTACTGCTGCATCTGTCGGAGGCAGCTTGGATAAAAGAGTTTTACTGCTGTTGTATAGCTGGTTTCACATCTGATTTAAGGACCATCAGATATTTAAACCGTTCTTTTTAGCTTCACCCCGACCGGTCCAAGCAGACGTCCGACCTCCCAGAGCTCCGTTCTGCTGTTAAAAGACAAGTTTTTCTTCCCACTGTGGCTGAAGAGCTGCTCGAGGGGTCTTATCTGAGCTTGTTGAGGGTTTATCTCTGTTAATATAATAGGTCTTGACCTCGCAACTGATCATGTGAATCACTGCTGCATAAATAGAATTATATGTCGCAGTGCTGGACGGGTGAAAATAGATTATTAAAAAGAAAAAAAGAAGCTAAGGAGGGTCACTCTGGGCCCTGCTGCTCTCTGTTGTCATTACATTAGTCGGGAGAAACAGGTGAGACAGCTCCTAAATAGATCAACTAGAGCCTCGCTGATTCACTCTCAGGGATTCGAAAATCTAATTTCTACAGGATTTCGGTTACACCAGCTTCTAACCTGCAATCTGAGAGTCAAAACCCCCCGACTCACGTTTGAAACGATTAAGCAGGAAAGACCGACAACAACAAAGACAGACGGACAAATCCAGTGAAATAAAGAGACCAGTGGACACAAATGTGAAGAGACCTGGAGAGGACTCGAGTGCCACCCGGTGTTCGGCCAGACAACTGCAGCTCCGGCTCTTCTGGGGCCCCCACATATCTCACCGCAGATGAATAGCGAGGGTGGAAACAAATCAGCGCCCTTTTACAAAATGAGCCTTTTCAGGGTTGTATGTAATCACTTTGTCCTTGGGCGTTATTAACGGCGACCACTGGAGTGTGCACGAACAACCCCAGATATAAGAAAACGCTAAATCTCGACAAACGTGCCGGATGCTCCCGCCGCGAGAAGCGCACCTCCAGTCGAGTCCTCATATTTTTCATGCCGGTGCCTTTTTTGAAAAACAAATCCCTCAACCTGGTGCGTCTACACACATGCAAATAGGGGCAGCCTGGGTGTTTTCCATCACCTGTTGTGATTTACATTCTGGGCTTGTTTGGGCCCGTCGCTGGTCGGGGAGGTCACGAGAGGTCGAGATGCACTGTACGCACAAGAAAGCCATAAAGGAGGCGAAGGACAGTCGACCACACGTCATCAGAATTATCTCTCCGTTGCTGCAGTTTTTAAAAGCTATTATAAAAAGTGAAGATCCGGCTTCCTGTAGCGTGTGAGAAGTGAAACAAGTCAACATCCATTTGTGAGGAATGAAAAGTATGCGATAGATTTAATGCTGCCGCCGCTGACGGTGCCATGGCAGCAGTTAATCACGCTGCGAATGTGTGGGGTGGAAATCTCATTTAACTGTTTACCTGATTTGCCCACTGGTCATTATTCAAGACTTTTCGTTTTTTTTCCTGTAATAGAAAATCCAGTGTAAGATTGCCCTCGGGGTTGGCCAGATTGCATTCATGCAAACTTCCCGTCGAAACACATCATTGTTTTTTAGCATCGAGACGGCTCAGCATTCAGATGGATTGAAATGAAATAATTAAGGCGGTCGAGAAAACATCTATTTGAAGGTGTCGCATGAGGCGTATTAATAAATCTCTTCATGCTACGCTGCTGATATGCAAACGGCAGGATGACGAGCCCTTTTTTTTTTCCTTGATAGTGAATTTGTTTATGCCGATTTGCTTATGGTCAAGAACTTTTTTCCGGGGCTTCCTGACCATTGATGATTGCTTTAGTTAAATTTTGTTCTGACTGATAGTCCTCCCACCGCAGCAGGCCCCACTAATGCCTATATTACTTATTCCACTCATTAAAAAATAAACTTATAGCACTTTTATTAGGCAGCGAAGATGTAAAGTGTTCGACCCGTTCGTTGGATTACATCATGTATTTATTCTGCGGCGATATAAAATGCTTCGGTCAACAGATGAGGTCAACTTAAATCACGGCTCTGTCTTCGTCGAGGTGGAAGGATGCCATGTCTCTGCCGACAACAACGCTTTGCATACAGATTTCCATATATTCCATTCATGTTGGGTGGGGGTCATTTAGATTTGTTCAGTCACTTGACTCCCTCATTTCCAAACAATCACAACCCCATCTTCAGTCTGGCAGGATCTTATCTCTGTCTCCCTTTGTCGAGGACGAGGAGATGGCGATAAAGTGAGTTACTGCATATTTGATTGTTGGGCCTTTACCATTTTCAGCAGACAACAGCATACAGCAGCCATGTGGAAAATACCAAAGAGCTTTTCACTCACTGTAAGTCTCACTTTGCATTGTGTCTGTTTGTGAAGGAAAGAGGGGGCTTGTGTTGATGTGAGGTTCCTCTCAGGTGCTCGGTGCGTTAAATTGGATGTTAACGGGTCGTTTTTAAAACGGCCTCCTAGTGTGGTTTTTGCAGGTGATGTGGAGTTCACAGGTAACTAGGCTAGTGATAGATCTTGATGCTCTTTTCAAGGGTAGATTGTGTTGCTTTCCCAAGGACCCACTGGGGGATGTTGAGGCTTGGGGCGAGTCTGTGGACAAAGTCCTCGGCTGTAAAGGTGAGACACCCTCCTGACTGATGCGTTTCACTGCGTGTACGGGCTTCCCTGCTTAATGTCGCTTCTGATTTCCAGCCGGACAGATCGCCTTCCGGGAATTCCTGAAGTCCGAGTACAGCGAGGAGAACATACTGTTTTGGCTTGCCTGCGAGGAGTACAAAAAGATCAAGACGGCCCCGGAGATGATCTCCTCGGCCAACAGGATCTACTCAGAGTTCGTCGACTCGGAAGCACCCAGACAGGTGAATGACTGCAGGCCAGATTCTTCTAGGGATTTAAATTTAACACATAAAACGAGGGAGTCATTGCTTCTAATCTGAATTTAGTTGGCTTATTGCGATACAACAGCTGCTATAAAGTGCATTTTATGGCTGTAAAAACTGCAAGTTGTTTCCCCCAGAACATTACGGTGAATGACGATGAAAGGAGTTGCTGTAATACGCCCCCGGGCGACATTGTTTGATTCCAGATCAACATAGATTGCGGTACCAGAGAAAACATCACAAAGAACATCTCCCAGCCGACCCTGACTTCGTTTGATACGGCGCAGAAGCTCATCTACAGTCTGATGGCCAGGGACTGCTACCCGCGCTTCCTAAAATCTGACATCTATCAGGGACTCCTGAGGAGAAATGATTCAAGGTGACTGTATTAAAACCGACAGCCTCTCAGGCGGGCTCGTGAAATCTTCAGTCCAACTCTGATCTGCTGTAGCACTCTTTGATTTCAGTGTGGATAACCGGTTTATACCATACAATCCAGATCCTTAAGTATAGCAGATGTAGTTTTTCTAAACCTGTGTGATTCTGTAGACGGTTACAGCTCAAGACAATTTGCAGCTTGTATTATACTTCATCTCTTTAATTATGTCAAAGAAAGAAAAAAAAATCTTCTAAGAGATTGTGCACATAATTCCTCTGAATGATTATCTTTTCTTTTTTTTTTCCTGTCCTTCAACACTTAAGGTTAATGATAAAAAGAATTCCTTTATTGTAAAGTATTATCAGCCCTTTATCTAATTGATTATGCCAATATAAATGCTAATATGTTCTGAGAACTTTCAGCTTTTCATATGCAAATAAATATTGTCACATTTCTGCCTTAGTTTTTGCTTCCGTTGAATCTTTTCTTGTCTGTTTGTGTTGACGTTTTTTCTTTCTCTTTTTTAAAAATCTGAGCAATAGAATCTATTCAGTGAAGTGACATTTGGGGTGTGGTTCCTTTTGAATGCGATGCAAATCATCTGTATTCTCGTCAGCCAAGACTTTTACCGTCAGCTATAACATGGTCATTGGTCACACAAACAGCAGATGGCAACAGAGGCTCTTCAGCGACATCACTCAGTATCAAACAGCAGGTACAACCGCAGAAAACCCGTTTTTACACTTCCTCCCTCTTCGTATCTCTGCAACGTTTCTGCTGCAGTTTGGAGAAGTCGTTGTGCCGAGGAGCTGCATGAATCAACGCATTTACCCTGAAGTTAAATCTCCCTGAAATGCCACAAACACAACGTTGTGCGTTTGTTTCAGGCGAGTTCATTCATCGTGAAAAAGTGTCGATTCAAAATGCAGCTTTGAATCAGATGTGAGATGAAAAATCTTGTCTTACTTTATGTAAACCTCCCTTTAAAGAGTAGAGTTTTATGTACTAACAGATAGAAAGCAGTCTGCCTTGTATGGGGTTATGTTTTGTTTGCTTTCTACTTGGAACATGGTGCACTTTTACAAGCCTATGCAAAAAGCATGCAAATACAAAAGAGCACAACAGCATCAGCTTCAGGACACAATGTTCAGACCCACAAAACAGAGCCAGCTTCCAAAACAGGATTTAAATTAAAAGAATGAGAAGCATTAAATCCAACAATCTTATTTACTGTCTGATGGGTTTTTTTATTTTTTTGTGTGTAGAAAGTGGAAGTAGCTCCGCCATGTGACAGCTGTGAACATTTTGTTCAGTTTGTGTCGGTGGCGCCGATTTTAGATTTATTTTAAGAGACGTTTCACATGTTTGCTGCTGTGTGTTGTGCAGACGCCTCACCACAACTTCCTCCAGTTGAGACAGCTCTGGTTGTGCTCACCTCTTTGTGGGACGGAGGTTAAGGTCACGGGGTACAGTGCAGAAACATAGTGTTTGATAAACCACGTGTTTTAATCTAAGCTTGTTTCTTACGAGGCCGAAAACTGCAGGAAGCAAAGAAGACGGAGGAATGATAGAACGAAGTGAGCGAAGTTTTGGTTCTCAGGATGACAGCAGTCGAGTCGACGGAGGAAACTCACAGACGGGTGTTGCAACCGATAAAGTGAGATGAATGAGATAACAGTTAAAGTCAGAGCAGCGCAAGTCATTAACATCTGCGTCCGACACACTTCCTGTCAGTCACACAAACAATGTGACCGAGCAGTGCTCACCTCAGGAGCAACTCACGATGTAAACTCTCGGGGTTATATCGATTTTATACATCAAACCTGTAGCTTGTTAACCAAACAAGACATAGTGCACATGTTTTCTATTGATTCAAAGGTAC